CTTCTTTGTGCTTTCTTATAATGGTATGTGCCGTACTTGTAATATAATACTTTTTATTTTCAATTGCGATGGCTTATGTAACTTAAAATGAACTAAAAGACAGGACTCATGTAGTGTTTTTATTGAATGAATGAGACCTGATTCCTCACCTTATTTCTGCTCCAAACTACTTGTGTTCTAAAAGTTACCCAGGCCGAGATGAACCACATGGAATTTCCAGCTCTGCTTTTTCTTATGTCAGTTTAGAACTTCCAAACATTTTATTCAGTAAGAATTTTGCCCACTTACATTTATGTTTTATATTCTATGCATATAATATGGTATTTCCTTCCATAAACTATTCTCTTTCATTTGTGGCTAAGCTTGCTAAGTGTGTTATCTCCTTCTAAAAAATCAAATTGTTGGAAGGGGTACATGGGGGCTTTGTATTAATGATGTTTTATTTCTTAAGTTGGGAGAGGTATAGTGGGGCATATAACATTTTTATATACACATGTTTAACATCTGAAATATATTTTAAAATATAAAAAGAATATTTCTCACTTTAGGAAGGACGGGCAATTATAACACTGGGGAGAGGGGTCAAGCCAAGAGAAAATTTTTTTTTTACCTTTGATAATATAATATAGGTAATATAAAGAATATAAACATCTTAAAAATGTCCAGTGTGTTAGGCTTTCTGTACACAGTTACACTAAATAGTGGAATAGGTACCAGTTATTAAAACACAGATACATAGATATAAAATGTTAACCTGGCTGGATTTATATGGCAAATGGAGACAAGAATCTTGGGTTATCTGTGGGTCTCATGAATGAAATCAATTAAGTTTAGGGAAGCTATTTATTGCTAGAGAGATAAAAACATAATTAACAATTATAAAGCAGTCTATGGGGCTTCTGGTTGTAATGGAAAGCAATGGGTGGTTTTCTGGAGACTTGGTGGTTTATATCTAATCTCTCCCTTTTCTTTTAAAATATACCTAAATCTTTTGCTAAGCAATTTCTGGCGGGTAATGGTTGGGGGAATTGCTTAAGCTAACTCATGATTTTTATCAGATACTACCTTATCCATTTCCTGAAATTATAGAATAGCTGGGTTATATGTGAGGCAAAGCAGGATGAGAAACAAAATGAATGACAGCCTGGATGTTCTTTTTTCAAACTCTTATCCTCAAGCAGGAATCTCATTATTTCCTGTTGCCTCTTTTTATAACAATGACATTCACAAAGAGAAAAATTAATGCTTTTTTTTTCTAGTTAAAAATTAAAATTTTTAGCAAGGCCTCCGATAAAGGCCTAATATCCAAAATATACAAAGAACTCATACGACTCAATATCAAAAAACAAACGATCCAATCAATAAATGGGCAGAGGACCTGAACAGACACTTCTCCCTAGAGGACATACAAATGGCCAACAAATATTTGAAAAGATGCTCAATATCACTAGCTATTAGGAAAATGCAAATCAAAACCACCATGAGATACCATCTCACACCTGTTAGAATAGCTGTCATCAACAGAACAAGTAATAACAAATGTTGGAGAGGATGCAGAGAAAAAGGAATCTTCATACACTGCTGGTGAGACTGCAAACTGGTACAGCCACTATGGAAAGCAGTATGGAGGTTCCTCAAAAAACTAAGAATTGATCAATCATATAATTGATCCATCAATCCCTCTACTGGGTATACCCCAAAGACTTGAAAACCCATATCTGAAAAGATGTTTGCACACCAATGTTCATAGCAGCATTATTCACAGTGGCCAGGACATGGAAGCAACAGAAGTGTCCTACAATAGATGACTGGATAAAGAAGCCATGGTACATATATACAATGGAACATTACTCAGTCATAAGAAGAGATGAAATACTGCCATTTGCGACAACCTAGATGGACCTCGAGATAATCATGCTAAGCGAAATAAGCCAGACTGAAAAAGTCGAAAATCACATGATATCACTTATATGTGGGATATAAACCTAAAAGCAACAAATGAACAGGACAAACAGTGATTTAAGGACATGGACAATGGACTAGTGATTACCAGAGGGTAGGGAGTAGGGGGAGGAGGGAAGAGGTAGACAAGGTAAAGGGGGTCAAATATAGGGGGATTAGGGGAGGGTGAAATGGGTAAAGGGGATCAAATATATGATAGTTAAAGGTAAATGGACTCTGGGTGGTAATCGCACAATAGAATATATAGATGTCAAATTATAATGTACACCTGAAAATTATATAATTGTATTAACCAATGTTACCCCAATAAACCTAAAGAAAAGAAAAAGAATTAAAATTTTTCATATTAGTTAAATACCAGTGAAAATTGTCCTTATTTTACCCAGTAGCTGAAGCTACAAGTTTATAAGGTGAGAAAAATTTCTCCCCCATTCGAATGCTGTAAAATATATTTTTAAAAGTGTCAGAGCAGGAGGGAAGCTAGTTTGCAGGCTCACACATTGGGTTTCCATATTTCTGATGTGGCAAATAAAGTTGCTTTTAAGCAAGATAGCTATTGCTGGCCAGGTGTTCTGAGGGGATCTCACTAATTCAGTTCAAAACCAGGTCATACTCCACTACAGCAAATATCAATCCATAGTGATTCTCAGCAACAATAGCTTTCCAAGATTCAGACACCGATCACTTTATTTCACAAAGTAATAGAATTTGGTAAAACTCCAGTAAAGAGAATTGAGACTTTCTTCAAATTCTTTAAAATTGACTCAACTTTATTTAGCTAGCATGCAAAACTAAACTAATAGCACAGCTATTTTACATATGTGTTTATAGTATGTAGAAGTTCTGTATCAGGATGTACAACCTAAAGTCAAATTTAATCAGTATTGGCTTCGAAATTGTTACAGGAGAGAGACTAGAGAAGCTTTGGAGGGGGTGCTGGGAATCTGCATTTTAGCAGGTACTCCAAGTGATTCCATTGCATGCTTTGGGAAAAGCCTCAGAGAATAACTGAATAATGCTCAAGTAGAAACTGGCATTTAGTTAAGGAGGGCTTTAAACAAGGGAAGCTATCACCAGAGTTGATCAGTTTGGTATGGTTAACAAAAGGTAATAGGTTCTTTTTGAAATATTTATTTTATCAACTGGAATTAAACCTAGTTGTGGACCTGGCTTTTCAATTTGTTCCACTGAATAGTCTTTGGAATATTCATTATCTATGAATTATTTGTGGCCTTTCCTTTTTTTAAATCTATTCTCACAAATTATGTGGACACATTCCTCTGTTCTCAGAGTCTTTATGTCATTAGTGATTTGTGCTGTAGAGTTTTTTCCTTGTTAAAGAATGAGTCCATCTATCTAGGAGCTTATGCAGGTATTCTCAAGCATGGTTGACTATAAATCACCTGTGGAACTTTTTAAACCTAAAGTTGCCAGGCTCTACTCCTCACCCCAATCAGAATTTCTAGGCATAGGACCCAAAAATCTATTTTCTTAAAAGTTTTACTGTGCAGCAAGGCTTGAGAAGCACTGGTTTAATGATAGCAAAAGAAACTTTTTTGAGACTTTCGAACATAGTTTCCTTGGTTAGACATTTCTTTACTCCTGCTTTAGCCAGAACCATTGTTGTGCTAGATTCAATGCGTTCCCTGAAACTCCAAATTTTGTGCTATGGCATCTCTGATAGGGATGTAATGGACAGTGTCTGAAACTGCTAAGCAGGCTTTACTTCTGGGGCTGGTAAGGCAGAGAGGCCCAAGACACACTGACAAGGGTGAAGTTTTCTCTAAGCAGCAATTTGATCTTGATAAATAGTGAGAGAAAATTGCTTGAAGCAGTGTCATACCAACTGGTCTGAAGATGGGGGGCGGGGAGGTTTTGAAGTTACCACTTAGCTCTTTGGTACACTGCCGAGCTTATAAGAGTTTGATTGTGCAGAATGACAAAGTTTCTCGCTTGCCAGTCTAAAAATGCTTAGGCTTAGGTCAAGTTTGAGAGATGGCACTGGGCTTCCTGACTTCCAGACCCTGGAATTACTGACAGGAGGATATCCAGACAATTTTTAAGATCCCTAAAATAAGATATTTTAGGAACTTTCTGGCTTATGCCTGAATTGTCCAAGATGCTGAGACTTAGCTCTCTGCATGTTTTCCTATATGGTTTTTCCTGAGTTTGCCTGTGTAGTTCCACAACAGATTGTAAATTTCCACAATGCAAAAACCACTTATGTTACTTCTCTAGCCAAGAGTATAAACCAGTGTCACTCGAACACACATGCCCCATACTTTAGGGTGACTTAATGTTTTCTAAGAGGAGCAAGCAGTCCCCACTTCTAGTTTCACTCTCTAACCACCAATTGGTACAGGTTTCTGCCCCATAGACTAAGAGCAGGTGACGTGAGAATTAAACACACGTATCTCGGCCAATGCCCAAACTATGTGTCACCAGGACATCCCATGTTTAGTCAGTCACTGGAATGTTTTTCATCACTGGTGGAAGAAAAAGGTCTCGAAACTTTTAGATAACATGAAGCAGGAGCTATAACCATCATTTTCTGACAGGTACTCTTAAAATCTTGCTGCTCAAATGTGGTCCTCAGCCCAGGAGCTTCATCAACACCTCCTGGAGCTTGTTAGAAAGGCAGACTCTCTGGTCCCCATCTCTAACTGGATCAGAATCTGCCTTTTAACTGAGACACCCAGGTAATTCTTCATATTTAGAATTTGAGATATCAATTGATCAATCGAGCGACACGGAGCCCCGGAAAAGAGACTCAGCCCTTTGTGCTTGCCTCGCACCCGCTCCATTCGGTAGCAACCGAATCTCCAGAGACATCGGAGAGGGTGCTGCTGAGGGCAACTTGATGATTGGCTGGTCTGACCATGTGACTGGCTCTGGGCCTCCCGCGCTACCGGATTGGCTCTTGCGGACGCTGACGGACAGGGCCGGGGCGGGCTAAAGCCTGGTCGGAGGGGCGCGCGCGGGGGCGTGAAGGCGCGAGAACGCGAGTGCGCGTGCGCGTGCGGCGGGGCTTTCTCCCTAGCCGTCGGAGGGAGCTGGAGCGCTTCTCCCGAGGTAAGCGCCGCCGCGGGGTGGCCCCCAGCCTGTCCACCGCTGGATGCAAGCGAGCGGGGTGGGTCGGGCTGGTCGGGCCGGGAGAGGTCTGGGGTCTTCCTGCTCGAGGAGTCCCTCTTCGGGGAGAATGCAGACCCCCCTAAATGCCTCGGTTTCCCTTTTCCTACGCTTTAATGCACCATTCCATCCTCTTCACCGCGGTGACAGGTCCACCCGTGGGGTCCTGCCCACCTGGCAGCCCTCTCCTCCGCCTTTGTTTCCCGCCTGGAGACGTGCTGGTATCGGCCCCCTCCCCAGGTAAAGGGTAATTGAGGGTGGTGGGTCTGGGGCGTCACGGGCGCTGGATCTGGGCTGTGGCCGGGAGAAGATGGCTTTAATGCAGTGGGACCTGTCACATGTGAGAACGAAGGGGAAAATGTAGTGTCACTTTGGCCAAGCCTCGGGACACGAACTAATCCGGCGGCGCCGAGCGAAGCGGAATTCCTAACGCAGCTGTGCGGGCGGGGGTGGGGAACAAGACGGGTGGACGGAGCCCAGGTGCTGCCCCATAAAAGGCTTCTCTGTACCTACACCCGAGCTCTCACCTGAGATGCACCGAAATTGACCGCCTTCAGTCGGCCGAAGGAATCCAAAGATTGGTTAAGAGGCGGAAAAAATATTATTTTAAAGCAGTCGGATTGGCAGGTCTAAATGAGAGGCTACAAAAAGGAATTACAGATACAGTGAAACTGATGACTGGTAAATTGCAAAGAGGGAAAATGCCTGCAGTGAACCGCAGACCAGATCATCACAGGGAGATTCTTTTTCAAGAAGACAGGTTTTTTGTTTTTTCGGGGAGGAGGAGGTGGTAATCTCTGTAAACCGAGGGCAGCCCAAGCGAATAATTACTTGAGCATGCTAATGGGCTGTAGGGAGAAGGGAAGCCAGGGTCTAAATTACACCTATTCAGACCTCCTTAATTCTTTGAAAAGTGCGCGTTTAAAGACCATCTGGGTGACAAAATTGGTGTGTATGTTGGGAGGGGGGGTGTCTTTTTTAAGTCATACTTTAAAAAGGGAGGGTGTGTGTAAGGCATCCCTTGCCTTTCTTCTTATTCCCCAGACCAGCAGTAGCAAGGACTTACCGTGTATCTTATAATGAAGTATGTATGTATATATCTATATATATCTATATATATCTATAGATATATATATCTAAATTTTCCCTTGGTTAACTAATTTGTTAATTTGATGTGTCTGGTAGTCTACTTGGTAAGAAATGGTTCAGCTGTCATCAGGAAGATTTTACTGTATTCTGGATTTCACTGTAATCCACTTAGAACTTATTCTGGTGTCAGATAGACAAGAATCTCTTTCTTTACCTGATTCCTCAGAGACATCCTGATTCTGCTTCAAAGCTCTTCCATTACTCTTACCTTCCCCTTACAAAGTTTTGTTTCTTTAGGAAACAATGTTCATACATCTAAGACACACCTCATGCCTGTGTAATGTCTACACTCGCTGAGAAGTTAATTTACTTGGCAAATTAAAACAAATTGAAGAAGGAACACTTAAATTTGTTAGGAGGAATCAGAACTAACATTTATCAGCTGCAGCAAATCAAATTTTGGAGGTTTTGTGAGGTGAATGAAAGTAAAAGAAGTTGCTGCAAAGCTTTTTGGGAATATAACAAATGACTCTAGTAAAGTATAGTATATATTGTCACCTGATAGATTGGAATATAAAGCAAATTAGTGGGAATGATTTAAAAATTTGTCAGTGATTTGTATGTTATTGGGAGGGAGGGAAGGAAGAAGGAATTTGAGTGTGGGTTAGGTGGCACAGTTTGAAAAATCCATGCTTTCATATTTTTCTCAAATGTCATTTAAAAAAATATATAAACTGCACAAAGGGCATGCAACGTTTATGTTTAGCCTGTGGAAGGGAGTCAAGGGTTTTGAAAAGGTCGAGAAACACTTATTAAGTTACAGAAGGGAAAAGAAGAAGATTGGCAGGCTTAGTTCATTTTGAAGAAGGCGACGTACCTTAGCGACCTAAAGGACAAGGTTTTATTCTCTGATTCAATAAAAGCCTACTAGTGTTGCTTTCAAAGCAACAACAAAATCATTTCCTTTCCATCATTTTTGTCCCCTGGCTGAGGTACAGGGAGGGTGGAGAGTGAATGAGAGAGATTAGAGTCAGACCTGCATGCCTAAGCAGAAGTGTCCTTTGAGCAGGATCTATGTCACATTGTGTAAATGTAAGAGCCTTCACATTGAGAAAGGTCTGAGCACCTTCCCTGGGACACATGCTGTAAGATAGAGCTGGATAACACTGCCACAGGTGGGGGCACGGGTGAGATCATCTGATACAGAAGCACTAGGGGGAAAGGAGAGCCAAGAAATCTTTAATTCAGTGAGGCTGCTTGCCTTTGGAGCCTTGAGGAGGCATTTCCAGGCAGAGCTGTCTCGTTTATTGGCGAGCTTGGCTGGGCTTTATATGGCTTCCAGAAGACCTGCCCTTCATGACTGAGTCTCCTGTGGAGATTGTGTGTCTCAGGTTATAAGCATCAGTTATGCTTGCCATGTGCTCTTAAAAAAAAAAAAAAAGCTCACAAAGACACAAATCTAGGCTGCCGTTCTTTCAGGTCTTTAAGGGGTTATGTCACCCACGGGCTTCCAGAAATCAAGTTGTGCCCTTCCTACCAATAGATGGCACTGCTACCTCTGGGAATTTCTGGAGGAGATGCAATATAGAGCTGGCAAACCAGTGGTGTGTAACCCCTAGTCTAGATTTCAAAAGGCTGTGTCAGCTCTTAGTCAAAGAGACTCTCCAAAAAAGAAACAAGTTCTGAAAGCCAGAACTGTTTATATAAGATAGGAATGATGCGCGTGTGTAGTGAGGATTGAGGAGTGGGTGTGATTACTTTGCTTGTTGTGTGTGTGTCTTAGGAGAGAAGGCAAAGGGTAAACTGACAAACACTGTAACAAAGGTTTTGAAAGCACATGGCAGTCATGTTTTTGGTTAATTGAATGAGGCTGAAATCACGATTCTATCAGAATTCCCAACTTCATAGTTACTAATGCTTTGCATATAAAACTAGCCTACATACATGGTCTGGACTATGGAAATATACGCATGACTTTTAAACCTGATCAATATCCAGTAATTCCAAGCTCTGAAGATAGTGGTGAGAGTATCAGTAAAAATAATGCTGGTTAAGCAGTACTGTACTTCATGGCTGTCCACAGAAGGTAGGTCAAAGTTATTTTAAATCAGTTTCTATTTAAAATACTTGTTAGGAACTTTTAAGTTTTAGATTTTCTTAGCTAATGTCCTTTTCAAGATTGTATTAACAATTCGAATCTTGAACTTTGGTTTTATTGATCTTATTAGTTAGGGTTCATTCATCCCTTTCCCTCTTTTGAAATAGTTATTCTTTATAACTGATTGCTCTTTGAAATGAATTCTGTAGCCATGATATTTGAGGGAGGTGAATGTTGTTACCAGTGAAGTTACCGTATATGTGAGGGCCTCAGCTTTGATCTTGTCTGAGGTCTAGGACACTGCTGCTGGGTGCCAGCACTCTGCTCACCTTCTTCGTTGTGCAGTTCCCATCCTATAGCTCAGCTTATCCGAGGTGTATTTCTGTCTCCAAGTGATCTGTTGAGCTGGCTTTCACTTACTAGTGTTTAATCCTAAAATCCTGCCGGTGCTAGATGGCAGTAGTCACAGCAGTCCATTAACATGTCCTCATTACGTGACCTCAAATCTTGCCCTTCTGAACCTTAGTTTTCTCACATGGTCAGTGGGATTGGTGAGGTGGCACATGTCTCTTAAAATTCCTTCCAAGTCTTGATTTCTATGGCTAGGTGATTCTCATAAAGCAGAAAAATTCTCATCTAGTAGGTATTTTCATATTGTGAGCCTAGGACCGAAAGGAATCTCACTAATATTTCTTCTCAGAAACAGTTGCGCATTGTCTTAGAATCCTAATAATTCAGAGTTGGAAGAAATCTTTAAGCTGGTTTAACTCAACCTTCCCATTTCATAGACAGAGACTTTCAACTCAAAGCTGAGTGACTTGACCAGGCTAATAGAACTATTTAATGGCAGAAGGCTAGAGAACTAGAGCTCGAGCTTGGACTCATCTCAGTCTTCCCTTCTCCAGTGTTGCCTTTCTTCACCTGCTGTCAGTACACAGGATATGCAGTGTGTACAGGTATGGAGCCAAGAAAATTCTGAGTAATTCCTTAATGTAGTATTTTAAAGCCACTGCATGAATAGTGTGTTTGGGCAGAAATTCAAGGTCAGGCTTCTCTTTGCAGCTTATTCTTTTCTTCACTGACTAATCATTCCTGAGTGGGATTCTTTACTAAGCATCTTCAGGTTTTAAAAACTTTTCTGCATAAAAAGTCCTGTAAGAAAAAACTTTCATCATCCTAGAAGAGTCATTCCCCACTCAGATGTTTTTAAATTGGGTCCATGGACTCTAAGGGCTGTGTGGATAGAAGAGTATTTCCATATAATTGGCTTCCTTTGTAATCATATGTATTTTTTCTCTATATATTTAACACGTCATTCTGAGAAGAAGGTCCTTCAACAGATCGCTAATGGGGTCCATGGCATAAAATGAGGTAAATATTCTATAGTTCTGAAAAATCTCTAGGATAAGAGAATTTTTGAGGCTCTAAAAGAAACTATGATGGAAGAGGGCTTAGGGGTGGAGTACAGAGGGAAACCTATAGAAGTTCTTAGAACAGTTTACCTATATGAAAATGTTTAAAATTGCTACTAATAGCATTCTACCCATCTTAAATTGATAATGGCTATGCAAGCAAGCATTGATTTCCATTTATCATTCCTTGCTCAGTAAGTACTTCCTTCTAACTTCACTGAAACACTTTCAAATTCACATTGCTTCATTGGAAATGACATACATAGTAAAAGGCTCCCTTCTTCCCCAATCTCATTTTATTTCTGGATAAATCAATGCCTTTCTGACTTATGACTTGGAGTTTTTGACTCCTGTCTTTTACTTCTGAGGCCCTAACATTTTACTTTCTACTATAAGCTTCTAGGGTTCACTATGATCTCAGAGATGCAAAATAATTTACATGCCAGGGATAAAAAAAAATCTTGAGGTTTCTTTATCTGTCCCCAAGGTTTACCATAGAAACCACTGCTCCTCCTTGGCTAATTATTTGTTTCCTGTTCTAACCTCACATTTTCTCTTTTTCTGATTGTTCTCAAATAGGAGCTGCTCAGAGTTTGTATATATTGAAAATAAAAATTCTTGTTTTTTCCGGAAGGTATACAGCAGTTTGTGTTCAAGTCACATTTTGGACAAGTGAGACATAACTTTGGAGATCACTAAATTTTGAAGAACATTTGCTTGAAAATCTCAATACCTGTCCTGTGATACCTTGCTGACATTTGGTACCATGGTGACCCATGCTGGTGAATGCCACCTTCTGGTACCTTTTTGGGTATGGGCCAGAGTAGCATTTGTTCTTGGTTTAGCAGAAGAATCAAAATTACCCTTTCTTCTCTTCAGAAGGTTGTTGTCAATTGAGTTTATGTGATAACAGAAAAAAGTCAAATTTATGAATTCTGATCCCAGCACACGGAGTTGTAATGAGATTTCTTAGGCATCATTGACTTCTCTGAGTTTGTTTCCTTGTCTAGAAACTAGAGAGCAGTGACCACTGAAATTATTTTCAGTTCCAAAATCCCTATACTCTATGAAGTTCTATTTGATATCTAGACTAAACATGTCCTAAAAAAGCTGGGTAGTTGGGAATTTATTTATAATCAAAGTCGGTACCAGGATTATAATTCTTTATATCTACAGATCACTTTGTGATTTACAGAAATATTCTCTAGTTCTTTATCTCTTTTTCTACTTACAGGGTGGTCAGAGAACAGCATTGGTATCATCTGGGAGCTTGTTAGAAATGCAGACTCTCTGGCCTCCCCAGGACCTACTAAGCCAGAATCTGCATTTTATTAAGATGCCTAGGTGCTATGCTTGCACATTAAAGTCTGCAAATGCTGCTTTGTCTCATTTTTGAGTCTTACATTGACCCCCCAGGTCAATGAGGGAAGCAGGATATTTTGCAGATAAGAAAACCAAGAAACAAAGACTCAGAGTTTTTCAGTAACTAATAAAGGTTACTGTGTTAGTTCTCACCCAGAACTCTGTACTTTAAACCTAATATTGCTTTTTGGAGTTGGACTGGGGTCAGGCTTGTATGATAGAAACTAATTACTGGATGCCCAGCAGCCCATGGTCTTAGTTATGGTCATGTGGCTGAGTTCTAGCCAACAGAATGTGAGTGAATATGAAAGAGGGTTGTGATCCATGTTTAGGAAAAAAACAATGCTCATGTGAATGCCTCCATGCTATTTTATATTCCCAGCAGGCTAGAATGAAGAGCACCTGTAGAGCACCTGTAGAGCTCAGAAATTATTTTAAAGATGGCAGGATTTTTGTTAGCCTGGGTACCTGCATCACTGGTCAGGGAGGGCCACTTCATCGACTGGCCTGTTTATCTGTCCAGTGCAGATAGGAACCAGAAATAAACTTTTATTGAGTTTGAGCCATTACATGTGTTTGAGTCTATGTGTTAAGCACCTAGCCTACTCTAACAAATTCACTCGAGCAGTGGCTTGGGACTTGAAGTTTTGGATCTTTTGGTCTAATGCATTCATTCATTTTTCGTCTTTGGCAGTTGGTGATCGATCGGCTGTGGTCCAACATGCAGAAGTGAGTGGTGAAAAGCAACAGAGCTGATGGGTCATGAGGATGTAAGTGTGTTTGAAGGCTCTCCTACCCTCTACTCCAGGGTGAGTCAAAGGCATTCTCTGCCATTGTTTCTCTGGTTTTACTAAGTCATAGAGGCTCTTGTCTCAACAGCCTCTCGGAGTCAGTGCAATGGAGTGCCCTGTATATGGCAGGCTCTCAAAACTTTTATTGACTTGATTCATAGACGCCATGAAAATCAACAGTTACAGAAATAAAACCATGGTCAGGGTGATGGGATGGAATCTGTGCATGGAAATACTCAAACCCAAGAATTTTTAATAAGTTTGTATGGGGTGTGATTTGCCTTTGTTAGGGGGAGGAGAGGGGTGGTTGGACTTCCCTGAAATATATTGTAGAGAAGGGAACTAGGCCTCTTTCTTGTAGCTATATCATACTGTTAGCTTTGCTGGCTCGTATTCCCCTCTTCCAGCATCCTCCTCCTCCATGGATCACTTTGCTTGACTTTTTCTTCATTAATCACTTTTTTTTTTCCAGGAGGGGAAATAGCTTACCAGAGGGTTGATTCCCAGTTTTGTAGATAATAGCACTAGCAAAGCTCCTGGTTCTGCCTATTGTATTTTATTTTATCCACTGTCATTGGGAGTCACATGTCCACTTACTCCTTGTCTTTTTGCAGTCCTTGGGGCAATGGATGTGGGCATCGGGAGCATTATAACCAAAGCTGTCTTTGGATTTTTATTTGTTCTGAAGATTTTTGAGACAAGAAGATATTCACTGTTTGGTATGCCCTTTTCAGAGTCTAGGTGGACATCTGGGAAGGAGAGGTGGAAAGGACATCACATCCTTTCCGAACTCTCCAGCTTCTGACTTTAAGCTAAAACCATGCTCCTTAAAGGGAAAATTATAATTAATACAAATCTAAGCAGAGATAAGAATGGTTGGGAATGAGGGACAGGGGTTTAAAGTTCTCAGATGGAAACTAGATGGAGGGTTTCAAGCAACTCAGTTCAACATTGTGGATCCCTTAACAGATAATGTCCCATTATCTAGAGTCAGATACAGGGCACCCAGAAAGTCTGATGTCCTTCGGTGCCTCACATGACTCAGTAATGAGTACAATTTACTGAACAAAATAGACAATTAGGGGCTGTAGCTCTCTGGAGAGTCCCGAAGCGTACATCATTACTGCTGTGGCGTGATACACGTGCTTAGAGATAAGCAGAGCAGAGCAAAGGCAGCTGCAGAGCACGTCAACAACTGGAGTCCAGATGAGCAGCCAGACACAGACCAAAGCTCAGCGCTAGAGTTTGTTAATGAAGGGACTTGATTTTTGCTAGGATTTTCATTAAAGGAAAGGAGCTGACTTTCCTACCTACACATTTTCTTCTGTGGCTCCCATGTACAGTCATTCTTGGGTGATTGGTTCCAGGACCCCCTTAGATATCAAAACCTGAGGATGTTCAAGTCCCTTATATAAAATGATGTTGTATTTGCATATAGGCTACAGCAGTATATGCCTATGCATAACTTCATTCACGTGAAATCAGCATAATGCTCACATGGAAAATTCACGTTTTGCTTTTTGGAACTTTCTGGGATTTTTTTTTTATCCAAATATTTTCAATCCATGGTTGGTTGAATCCAAGGATGTGAAACCCACGGATATGAAACCTGTGGTTGTGGAGAGCCGACTTTATCTTTTATTTTAAAAGTAACTGAAAAGTAGAGCATGCCAGGGAAAGCACTCAGCTGGCCTGTTTTTGTGTAAATACTGTACAAGGACCAAATTGTAGAGGGAGCCATTCACTAACTAGGGGGCCAAAGAAAGTGCTAGAGATCCCAGAGGATCAGGGATCCCCATCATCGGCACTGTTGACATTCTGAGCCTAGCAGTTCTTTGTTGTGGGGGCTGGCCTGCGCACCGTAGCATGTTTGGTCTCTACCCACAGTCATGACAATCAAAAATATCTCCAGACATTGCCAAGTGTCCCTTGAGGGGAAAAATTGCTCCTGATTGAGGACCACTGGTGAAGGAACACAGTAATTTAATCTTGCTCTGAGTTTCACTGGGACTGTATTTTAATCATTTAGTCTCATTTCGCTGTAGCTTCCCTAACTGTAAAATAGACACAACATTAATAACTCAATAGCCTAAGGAAGTAATGTGCATAGTACTGTGTGACTACTTGGGAACTGCAAATACTAAGAAACAATGCCTGTCTTCCAAGATTCCAGGCCCCAAGAATCACTCTTAATTCTTGTGAGGGCAGTAAGTGAGGAACAGTGGAGTTTGAAGAAGGGCAGAGGGTTAGTGGTGTGGGAAATGATGAACAGTACTGGATTCTAATTTTATTGGAAGGCTTTATGTTCTAGTTCATTGCAACAATATATTCTAGTCGAAGGCTTCCTTTTGGAAAGCTAAGAAGTGAGAAAGTGGAGGAAGCAGAAAGAAGATATTCAGAAGAGCAGTCAAGGAAATTACTTTTGACGGAGTGGTCTTTAAATGTTAAAATGATTCATGTATAATTAGACCAAAGGACATATAGAAGTAACCCTACCCGCCACTCCGCCCTCAAAGAAAAATATCCTCCCAAATGACTACTGAGCCTAGAGTAGATTTTGCAGGTAATACAATAAAGACCAGAGAATGTTTGGAGGACTCTGTTTTTATTCTAGAACTTTCACATTTGTTTCTTTTTATCTCTGGGAATATGGAAAGAGTTATCTTTAACATATGTCCTTTGAATGATAAATAAGATGTTTTAATATGACACATGCTCTTTTGATTACTAGTACTGTGTTAAAATGGTGGAAGAGGCCATAACACTGACCTAGATGTGAAGTGTTACGTTATTTTAGTAGAAAGCCTCAGTTTGACTCTAAGGCAGGGCCAGTGCAGGGATTGGATGTAAACTGTCCTGGTGGATTCGAGGTCAGCCTTGCTAAGTTTCTGGTCCCTGTAATTATTAGACACAAAATTTACAAGTGTGCTCCAGCTTGGATCTAATATGTAGAGAAGCCATTTTAGACAACCTTATTCATTTACATTCTATCATACATTTACAGTCATAGGTTTTAAGCAAACTTTGTAAGAATGAGAAGAATTCTATGTACCTTGAAGAAAGAGGCACTTCAGTGTAGCAGAAAGGTGACAAGTGAAAGAAACTCCACTTTGATAGAGGTAGGCTGGTGTTTGAATGTTAGTTTTTATTCTAGTGCTACCCAAAGTATGGCCCTGGACCATCAGCGTCAGAATCACCTGGGTACTTGTTTGAACTGTCACGGCCTACTGATTCAGAATCTCCGGGAGTGGGCCTAATCTGTGTTTAATAAGACTTTCAAGTTACTCTAATGGACACTAAAAGTTGAGAAGCACTGCTCTAGTGGTCTCTGATGTAGTGACATCTTAATGAACTGTGTTTGTAGTGAGGCAGGTACTAAAAGTATTTTTTCAGGTGGTCAGAAGATATATAAGATTTCTCTGTGATAACCTCTTAGATCATTTTCCCAAACCATGGTCTAAACTTTCTCCTGCATTGTCCAATACAGTAGCAACTAGCCACATGGGTCTATTTTTATTTAAATTAATTAAAATCAAATAAAATTAGAAATTCAGTTCTTCATTTGCACTAGCCACATTCAAGTACTCTGTAGCCAGACGTGGTTAGTGGCTACCATATTGGACAGCACAGACACCGCATGTCTGTGTCAGAGAAAGTTAATCAGAGGAAATTCTATTGGACAGCATTGCTTTATTCTGTAAGGACTTTATTTCACGGAAACCCACATTTGTGGTGATAGCGTGCTCTTGTTACAACAAGACCTCAACTCATTTAAAACAGAATTGTGTTTTGGACTTCTCCATCTTGGGGAGCCTTTCAGTCTGTGAGTGTATCTTGCTGAACCTTTTACCTTACTGTGGCATCTGGCTGTTACAGAAGGTGCCATGGGCCTGTCTCTCTGACATAATCGAATATACTGCTTCTAAAATATTTGCCCTTTAATTCAAGGCTGCTGAGTTGTCTCTTTCCATTTGGCCTCTCCACACCCTGATCCTCGGTGGTGAAGCGTGTTTCTGTAGGATGTCTCTCCTGATACTGCTTAGAGCTTAACAAAGAGCCTGGGAGAGGTGGCCAGAGAATTTTTATTTCCCCTTCTTGTAAGTCCCAGCGTGGCTCAAAAAAGTGTTTCATAACAGGGTATTGATTCACAAGCTTAACCGCTGAGGAATTATCCCCTGAGGAATCAGCCTCTGAAGCAAATTTTCCAAGAGACATAGCATAGATTTAGTAATTAAGCCCTTCAGCAACATGGAAGAATTTTCAGTTGATATTATCTATTACTATTACCAGTATTGCTCAGAAACTATCATAATTAGAACAAATGAAAAGATGTGGAAAAAACACAATTTTTAAAAGATGTAATTTAAATCTAACTGAGCCCAAGGTTGTTTTGCATGGTAGAAGGAACGAGGATAAGGAGTCTGTGTGCCCTGAGTGTTATTGCTGGAGGTGAGGGGAAGAGGGTGGATAGGGACTGATACCGATCCATTGACAGCCTCCACTTGCTTCAGTTCTTGTGGGGTGCACACTGCTTGTCCTTTTACTTCCCTTCTCTCTTCAGTTTGCCTTTCTTTTGTGCTTTTGTCTGCCCCAAATGTTAGCAGGGGCTCACTGTTTCTCAAGGGAGGTCCTGTTAGCATTTTGATAGAATGACTCATCATTTGATAGAATGACTCATCGTCGTGTGGAATTTCCTGTCCATTATAGGATGTTTAGCATCCCTGGTCACTAAACGCCCCTATTACTCTAACCAAGTCATGAGTCAACCAACATGTCCCCCATATTTCCAGATACCTGTAGTTGAGAATCACTGGCTGCTAGAAAAATGAGTAGTGTTTTGTTTTGTTTTTGGAGCAAGGACTAATTAGAGTTGGGGAAGGTACAGGTGTTTCAAGGGGATGGCTCATTAATATCTGATATGGCCTGATCTTTTCCAAGTTTTGGGACTGCTTAGGGAGCCAATTTTATTCCATAGGGAACAGAAGAATCAGGTTTTACTGATGCAGAACTTGGCTCCC